TGTTTTCTCTTTTCCAGCCCGCTTGAGAGAACCTGGCTAAAAGAAACTCAGAAAACGCAGAGTTGGGAGCCAAGAACACCCGCCAACAACACAATAATCTGGACGCTCGATTGACAAGGGCCATTATTCATCCTGTGAAGACTGGACTGGACTTGCCTGGACTGACCTTGAGCCCCTGGAACGATAACGCATGCCGTTTTACGCCGTTCGGGTTGGCCGCAGGACGGGTGTTTTCGAGACATGGTTCGCCAGCTATTATGTCACGTATATAAATACAGGTCTGAATGTGAAGCAGTTGTGAAAGGATTTGCAGGTGCTCGGTACAAGAAGTTTAGCACCTATAGCGATGCCGAAGAATTTAGTAAAGGCCAATCTGTTGTTCACAATCCTCCTAAGAAGGCAAAAAAGCGACCTTCCTGTGAGTCGATGACAATTTGTGGTAAACATTTAGAAAATTTGTGGAACTTCCTAATTTCGTATACTTTATATTTTGAGGAAATTGTAAAGTGTCAATAACGTAGATGTTGGCACTACGGGATTAAATCGATGTAATCCCGTCCATAGGATAGCTGATCCTGGTGCAAAATGAGCTTGTTTAGTTTTCTTTTAGTCATTCAGAAAGTGCATGGTAAGCAAGGGATATTTTGGAATCCCTAACAGCGGTTGAGGAGCTTGTGTAGGCTACTCGCTTGGTGCTATTCGGGTACAGTACTGACCGCAAATGCGCACGTGACCTCACTTTTTTGTCACTTTTTTCAATGGGTAGTAGTGAAAGTAATTTAATTTGAGCTTGATGAAACTTTATACCTCGCACGGTCTTTTTGCTTCTTGTCCTCCTTACTACTTACTTTTCTAAATGAGTTGGTATTGTTTTTGTCCAATGAAATTATTGCAGAAAGTGTTTGATAACTCGCTAGTTTGTATAGACGGTTATCGGGTAACTGATGAATTTCCATACGGTTTGAGCCTAATTTGCAACAACGGCGTTTCATGTATTGTTGCAAGCTAGCAGGCAAGTCAGTCCTCGCATCGGACCCCATTACATATCAGGGCGGTCCGGTTCCTGAAGGTTTACTGTATCCGACGGAAAAGAGATTTCAAATGGGTACTAAAGACTACGTTTAGGTTTACACCAAATGAGTTAGAATTTAGGAGGCATGAGCTGTATGCGATAATTCAGCACAATTTACTTCAACGTTCATAGGTACGGCCAAGAACAGTGCGACTATTACTCTGAATGAGTAAGAGAACTGAAGGGCGTAAACAACCTTTCATGAAACGAAACCTAAAGGAAAAGGTTTGCAAATGCAACGGGAGAGTGGCTCAGGCGTAAGTGACTTCCGTGGTTGGACATGAACAAGTGAGGTACGCAGGGGAAAACAACGATGTCTTTTGAGCTATAGAGGGCCTGCACACGAAACGTTGAAAACAGAACGTCACTACAACGGCAGTGGACCTGTTCCAAGTCGGGTCAGTTCGTTTAAATTATCTACTTAAATAGTCCATTATGGGAGGGGCGCACATTTTTGGCAAAAATGGCTAGTAGCAAATATTTGTTTCCGAGTAGTTGTCCAAACATTCCTTGACTCCACACAGCGTTTTCTTGCGATTGCGAGAAATCTTCGGTGATATCCTCGGATGCATGTACAAAAAACTTCCAAGTTAACGGCATACTGCGATCACCTAACGATTGGATTTGTACCATAAATTGTCACTATGGAATCCTTTGCCATTCAAGCCATATATATATATGCCAACAGCTCAACCAACAGAAGTAGTCGCAGCTGATCCCTGAGGTCGAAATGAAAGCATTGAAATCACTGAAAAACGACTCCAGTGTTCATTCTTCCGGCAGATGAAGGCAATGCAATCGCACTGTTGGACAAAACAGAATAAAAGATAAAATAATTCATCGAAGACAAAGAAACTTATCGCCCGGTCAACGAGAATCTCTTAAAGCAGCTGAAAAATCAACTACCTAAATCCTTTTCCACTCTCAAGAACAACAAGAAGCTAACAGATGAACAATGTAGACAAACCCACAGAAGGTCCGATACCACGGTTCTATGGACTACCGAAAGTGCACAAACCCGATGTACCACTACGACTCATTGTCGCATCCACAACGGCACCCAACTACAATCTCCCAAGCTACCTCTTCCAACTACTACGCCTATCCTTACCTGCAAACCAAAATGATGCAAAAAGTCCCACGACATTCCTGGAACGCATCAAGGGACTGACCATTGAGCCAGATGAAGTGGTAGTCTCTTTCGATGTGACCTCACTGTTCACCAACATACCGAAGCAAATAGTCATTGAAAGCATCCAACACTTATTGTAAAATGACCAAAATTTGCCATTAAGAACGAAATTTCCGTGAACGAAATAATGAAACTCGTAGACCTCTGTATGGAAACCTATTTCCAATTCGACGAGAAGGTATACCAGCAGAAACGAGGAACTTCACTCTCAGGGCTACTTGCGGATGCGGTTATGAAACACTTCAAAGCCAAAGCCTTTGAAATTCTACAACCTCGTCTGTGGATACGTTATATGGACGACACATTTGTCGTACTCAAAGCGTCCACGGTAGATCAGTTCCACCAAATGATCAACGAGCAGGTGCCTGGTATCACCTTCGGACGAGAGGAGGAAAAAGATGGACAACCCTCCTTCCTCGACATCCTTCTCATGAAGCCATCCGATGGAAGAATCCAAACCAGTCTACCGAAAACCAACCACGACGGACCGCATTCTCAACTACAACAGCAATCACCCTTTGTGCCACCTAAACAGTTGTGTGCGAACTCTATTCCGCCGAGCGAACACACACTGTAGCACACCGGAGTTAAGGACAAGAGAAAGAAGTCGACTCTTTCAACTGTTCCTACATCAAACGCATATCCCGGGATTTTTATCAGGGTGTGCCTCAGAGATAAGAAACAAAACACAAAAGAAGGACCTTGGATAAGGCTACCCTACGTACGTGGCACGTCAGAAGCCACGGAACGAATACTCCAACCGTTGGGAATCAAGGTCGCCCATAAACCGGTAGCAATCGCACGAT